ACCTGCATGATTGTTCCTGCGCTCGGCAGTGGCCGAGAAGGGAGGAAGGGGAGTTGTGAGACACCCCAGGCATTTGCTCCTGTTCCACCTTTGCAGGACTGAAGAGGGTTCTGTTCCGTCTGGAGTCTGTCTCCTGGAGGTCACCCCTGGGACCCTGGGCCTGGCTGGGGGCTGGTTATCTGCTGGGGTGGAGGGTCCCCTGCCAGGCCAGCCAAGACTGTCCCAGCAGTCTCCACATTGGACAGCTTGGACAGAAGCCGTTTCTCTCCACCTCCCCCCTCAGCAGCCTCAGAAGCTGTTTTTCGAGCGCTGGGTTTTGCAAACATCCTGAGTGATATTTTGCACCTTCCCACTCACTGTGGGCTGGTTGTTGAGCCTTGAAGCGCCATTCGCGCAAGTCCGGGGGCTGTCTCTTTATCTAAACACAATGGTATGAATTACAGAGAAACAGACCCCGGTACAAAACAAGCAATTGTCCTTCAGAAAAAGGGTGGAGTGGGTCGAGGACCATTTAAGGAGGCAGAAGATGTTGTCTCAGCCGGGGAATCCCCTGACTGGGGGAGGGCCAGGGTCCAGGCCAGGCTGTCTGTGTCCGCCTTGGGCGCCTCTCACCTGCCTGCACCTGTTTGCAGGCAGGCTGTCTGCGTTCCCACTGTCCTGGGGGTCAGCCCTCTCTTCTGGGCAGACCCATCGTCCCATTCCAGCTTCCCCTACATTCGCACTTCATTTTTATTGTTTAACCATTTCACTCTATCTCCATCACAAAATTACAAATGCCGGAGGCCCTGAGTTCTCAGACAGGACTGGCCACTGTCAGCCAACGCCCTCAGAGCACCCATCCCAGCTCTCCAGGCTGACGCCCCACCCAACCTTCTTCCTTTCCTCTTGGGTACCATTGAGGACAAACCCTGCTCTCAGCACCGAGGTAGCACCTTTATTGTCCCCTTTTCAGAAATGAGAAAGCTGAGACCCAGAGGCCATTCCGGAACTGCCTGAGGTCATGGCTAGCCAGAGGACAAGCGGGGCTCCTGTCCGCCTGAGGCCAAAGTCCAAGCCCCAACTCCAGGCACTAAAATTCCCCAGGTGCCCAACCCCCAGGTACCCCAACCCTAGACACCCTGCAGCTTCCTGGAGGCCCTGCCCACCTCAAGAGTCTTCTGCTCAGGTCAGGGCTGCAGAGCCCAGAGCTGGGGCACAGAGGCAGGGAGGCATCTAAACATGTCATCCGGCACCAGAAGAGCTGTCCTCCCCCAGGCAGGCTGCCCGCTGTGGTCAAACCTTGCCCAGTGGTCAGTCAAGGCTACACTGGTGGGTGCTCGGCCTCAGGGACAGAAGATGAGCTCTGGGTTGCAGATGTTCGGCTACCCAAAGCCGGGGCCTGGACCCCTCAAGGCTCCAGCTCTGGAATCTGCTTCCTCCCAGGCTCACCGCTGTCAAATGCCCCACAGTCTGGAGGGCGAGTTGGGACAGGAGGGATGTCTTCCAGGGCTGAAAACATTGATTTTTTTCCATCACTAAATTTTATAGCAAAATTTTACAGCAGCACCTGAACTACTTTGTTTTTTAAAATTCCAACAGTTTAATGTATAGAGTGAAAAAGTAAAACTTCCATGAATTCTTCTAATTGTATGGTTTTTATTTCTACATTTTAATCTTTGCTTCATCTGAATTTTTTTTTTTGGTGTGAGATCTCCGTGAGTCAGGGTACAAGTTCCAAGAACTAATTCAGGTTGTCTTAAGAGGAATAAAGGAATATTTATTTTGCTCAAGAAAAACTAAAAGTCCAGGAGGACACCTGCAGGTGTAGGTGGATCCAGGAGCTCAACTGATGTCATGGGGTGCTCTCCTCTCACCTGTGCTGGCTTCATTCTTAGGCAGGTCCTCCCCAGGTAGGAAAATGGTAGGAAAATGACACCAACAACCATAAATGCAGTTTCCCACTCAGCAGGCCCCTGAAAAGGTAGTGTCTCTTTCCTGAACAAAAGGCCTGGGGCTGGCCCTCATTGGACAAACGTGATTGATGCAGGGATGAACACGTGGCCTGCATTTGTCCGATGAGGGCCTGCTCAGGCCTTTTGGCATGTGCTGATTGGCCAGGTCTGGAGAGGGAGTGGGCCACTGGGGGGATGGGGGAGCAGTTCCTGGGAAGCGGAGGGGAGGTCCCAGGAAGGGGCAGTGGGTGCTGGATGAGCAGGGACAGCAGGCCCTGAGGGTCCAGCCTACTTCTCCTGGCTGGCTTAGATGCCGTCTTTATCAGCACCACGTTTTTGGCCTCTGTCCCGCCCCATTGATCTCTCTGTCCGTTCTTTCATTGATGCCAAACTGTTCTCACTAAAGTCGCTTTTTAGTGTGGTCCACTGGTCGGTAAGGCGGATACCTCGCCTTCCCATATTGACCCATCACTCTTCCTTTCCAGAACTTTCCTGGCTATTCTTAGGTTATTTTTTTTTCCATTTGAATTTTAGAATCAGCCTGTCTATCCCAAGTCTCTCTCATGTTTTATTGGGACAAATGCCTAGACCACGCGTAGCCCGTCTCCGTATGCTTGTCTCCGTCCAGGGAGGTTCCTGGCTCTGCTCAGTCAAAGCTTCTTTTCCCTGCGGTGGTAACGTTTGCAGCGTTTCCCAGAGGTTTTGCACGTGGCTTATTGGCTGATTTCTCTTTGCTCCTTGCCGCAGGTGGGCTGCTCCTCTGTACCCAGAAGTGGGGGGTAGAGTGCAGGAAAGGGATGCAGGCTGAGCCCCCATCCGTGCTGTGAGCCTTGGTGAGAAGGGGCAAACCCTGAGAGTCAGGGCCCAGCCCCCACAGTCCAGACTCAGCCTCTGGTCAGGGCGGGCCTGCAGGGCCGGGACCTCATCTCCCCTCCAGGGCCTCAGAATCAAGGGCTTGTGTGTCTTCCAACTGCAGCAGCCCCCGGGGGCCTGGGGCCAGACCCCACAACCCAGGGCAAGAGGCCGGGCCCTGACCCACCACTTGCGGGCCTCGCCCAGCCCCCAGAGGTAGCTATTTTTGCTGCCTGTGCTCAGCAAGGTACGGTATTTTAAATGTTTTGACATTTAAAGTCTGTGTTGGATACATTCGTTCTGTTTAAATTATATCCGGGCTGTGATGACTCTCAGGGAATTGGTTTGTCTCCTGGCCCAGGCCCAGCGTCCCCTGCGCTCCTACCCAGCCCCCAGCCCAGCAGGGAGCCCCAGAAACCTTCCCAGGACTGGCCCTCGGCCACGTCAGCACCTCACCATCCTGCAGAAGATGGACTCCAAGTGGAAAGCAGCAAAACCGAGGGACAGAGGGACAGGCCCCCGTCTCTGGACCTGCCACCCAAGCTCAGCAGACGTAGGATGGAAGAGTGCCCGGTGGAGGTGGCTCCCAGGAACCCGTGTGGGCAGACATGGGCACTGGAGCTGGCTAGTGTGGAAGGCTGTCCTCCCGAGGGTCTGGGTGGCCCCTCTCCAGCATGCTTGTCTTCTAGTTTAGCAGAGCCTTGTTCAAATGGAACTGGAGGTAAACTCAGGCCACTGCCTCCTGGAAGGCCTCAAGTCCTCGGAGTGGGGCCTGGAGCACCGTGGGAGTGGGCAGCACCTTTGGAGGCCTTGGCCAGCGCCCCAAAGAGAGCGGGTGTGTGAGTCTGTCCTGCTCACGACAGACGCCCGACAGCCGGGAGACCCAGGGAGCAAACCCGCCGACGTTCCAGAACCTCCAGCACTTTTTGGTGGCTGCCGGGATCTCCGTGGCCGCTGCCCACATCAGCAGGACAGAGCTGTGATTATCCTCACCCTGGGGAGACCATCACGGTCATGTTGTTGAGGAGGCCTCAATGCAGGACCCTCAGCTCTGCTTTCGGGGCTGCAGGCAAACCAGGTGAGGAGATGGCAGGAGGGCGGCCTGGAGCCCGGGGAACCCCAACGGCAGACCCCCTGGAACTGCTGGATGGAGCTGCGGCCGCCAGGCCAGAGCCAGCGCAGGCGGGCCCTCCCAGTACAACCCGAAGCCTCTTTGAACCTGAAGCTCAAGATGGGCATGAGGAGCAGCTTGGCAGGGCCGGAGAGGAGCCGCTGCCCCGTCACGAGGGCGCTCCCTGCAGGCGCCAGGACGCAAGGGACTTTCGGATATGACGTGACAGGGCGTTTAAGAAAGAATAAAAAGCCAGCATGGTTTTGCACCACTCAAGGCTGTTATTTCTTGGCTGCCAGAGATGATGCCGGTTTTAGGACCAGCTCCAGGGGAGGCCCGTCAGGACCACATGCATCCTTGCTCATTCTCCTCAGCCACGTCCCATCTTCGCAACCGTCCACTGATGTTTTTGTTCCTGTCAGGAGCAGCAGTGCCAGCTCACAGAGGAGGCCCGGCCGCCCCCTCTCCAGAAGGCCACAGCCGCTGGGGCTGAGCAGGTGTCATCGAAGGGCCTGGCCAAGTCCAGGTCCAGCCACTTCTGAGCCAGTGACTTTGGCAAGTGCCTCAGCCTCTCTGAGACTCGGTTTCCCCAGACGCAGAGAGACGTGGCAGTTAGAGGTGTTAAGGAGAAGCACTTTCATGGCCCTGAGAGGCAGTCAGGGCGGGGCGGGAGGAAGGGTTTTCTGTTTGTGTCTGAACGTGAACTGTCTGCCTACAGGGCAAAGGACGCTGGGCTGCGCCGTCCTGGAGAGGTCAGGTGGAGCAGCCCCGTGCTTAGGGGCCACTACCATGGACACGTTGTCCAGACCTGGGAACGTAGCAGCCTTTGTTGCAACTGGGACACCCCAGAGTTTGCACTCCACACTGTACAGGCTGGACCCTGTACAGAAGCTCCTCGAGGGGGCCGAGAGTCTGTGAACCTCCTCTGAGCCACGGGGTGGGGAGCAGGCGGAGAGTCGAGCTGGAGATGGGCGGCCTGGGTCTGCCAGGCTGCCCCAGTAGAGTGAGCGCATCCACCACACCCTAAACCCCCAGCCGGCGGGGCAGGGCCGGGGCAGTGTCCCTGCACGCAGGTCTGACGGCCCGCCTTCTCTGTCTCTCTGCAGATCAACACCTTCATGTCTTTCGTGTTCCCCATGGTGGTCATCTCCATCCTGAACACCGTCATCGCCAACAAGCTGACTGTCATGGTCCGCCAGGCGGACGAGCAGGGCCAAGTGTGCACGGTTGGGGACCAGCACAGCTCATTCAGCATGTCCATCGAGCCCAGCAGGGTCCAGGCCCTGCGGCACGGCGTCCGGGTCTTACGTATGTAACCACTGGGCCCTCTAGGGGGCGGGCAGTGGCCAGGGGCCAGCAAAGCAGCGAGCACAGCACCAATGAATGGGGCAAAGTTTGAAGACCTGGGGACAGAGCATGTCAGGGCCAAGACTTGGAGTGCTGGCTCTACCGGAGGGTTGGTGCTGCCCTTGGCTCCATTCATTCATCCACCCATTCATTCATCCACCCATGCACTCACTCATCCACCCTCCATTCATGTACTCATTCATTCAGTAGCCCTTCATTCATTCATCTAGCTGGTTATTTATTCATTCACCCATCCATCTAGTCATTGATTCATCCAGCCATCCATTCATTCTCTCATTCACTCCCCCAGCCATCCATCCATTCATGGACTCATTCATTCATGTATCCATTCATTCTGCCATCTACTCACTTATTCATTCATCCATTCATTCATACATCTAGTCTTCTCTCATCCATTCCTTCACTCATCCATCCATTCAGTCACTCACTCATTCACTCATCTACTCCACTCATTCCCATTGATCCATCCACTCATTCATTCATTCACTCATTCACTGAGTCTCCTGAGTCTCTGGGTGGGACAGCTTGCTCTCAGAGCGGGGGCAGGGGGCAACAGAGGCGGGATCACCCGTACATTCCAGTGAGAGCACAGGTTCCACCAGAGGAAGCAAACACGTACATCACACACGATCAGATAGTGACGAGCATGAAGAGGAAAATGAGGCTGTGTGACTAGGTCTGGCAGCCAGGAGGGGCTCTCTGAAGAGGTGACATCCAGCTGAGACCAGCAGGACCAGGAGCTGGTCTTGGCAACAGGGCTGCAGGCAGAGGAACAGCCAGTGCAGAGGCCCTGTGGTGGGAGGGTGCTGTGAGCAGAATCATGTATTTGTCTTTTTGCGTCTGGCTTATTTCACTGAGCATAAGGTCCTCAAGGTTCATCCACGTTGTAGCAGGTGTCAGGATTTCCTTCCTTTTTAGGGCTGAATAATATTCCATTGTGTGTATGGCACGTTTTGTTTGTTTATCTATTCGTTGGTCAATGGACATGGGTTGCTTCCATCTTTTGGCTACTGTGAATAGTGCTGCTGTGATGTACGAATATCTGTTGGAGTCGCTGATGTCAATTATTTGGGGCAAATGCCTAGGAGTGGAATTGCTGGATCATATGGTAATTCTGTTTTTAATTTTTTGAAGAACTGCCATACTGTTTCCCACAGCGGCTGTACCATTTTACATTCCCACCAACAGTGCACAAGGGTTCCTTCCAATTCCTCCACATCCTCGTCAAAAATTATTTTCTGGTTGGTTTGTTTTTTTGACAGGAGCCTTCCTAATGGGTGTGAGGTGGTGTCTGACTGTAGCTTTGACTTGCATTTCCCTGATAATTAGGATGTTGAGCATCTTTTCATGTGCTTATTGGCCATTTGTTTATCTTCTTTGGAGAAATGTCTATTCAAGTCCCTTCCCCATTGTTGAAGTGAGTTGTTTTGCTGTCATTGAGCTTTACTTCTCTATATATTCTAGATATTAATCCTTATCAGACGTGTGATTGGCAAATATTTTCTCCCATTCTGTGGGTTGCCTTTTCACTCTGTTGACTGTCTCCTCTGACACACAGTTTTTAGTTTTGGATGTCCAAATTATCTTTCTTTTGTTGCCTGTGCCTTTGGTGTCATATCCAAGAAATCATTGCCAAATTCAAAGTTGTAAAGTTTTGACCCTGTATTTTCTTCCAAGAATTTTATACTCTTAACTCTTATATTTAGTTCTTTGATCCATTTTGAGTTAATTTTTGTATGTGGTGTGACGTAAGAGTCCTACTTCGTCTGTGTGTGGATATCCAGTTTTCCCAGCGCCGTTTGTGGAAGAGACTGTTCTTTCCCCATTGAGTGGTCTTGGCTCCCTTTTAGAAAATCATTTGACCATATACATGAGGGTTTATTTCTGGGTTCTCTATTCTATTCCCTTGGTCTGTGCATCTATCTTTATGCCAGTACCAGTGTTTTGATTACTGTGGCTTTGTAGTGAGTTTTGAGATCAGGAAGTGTGAGTCCTCCAGCTTTGTTTTCCTTTCTCAAGATTGTTTTGGTTACTCGGGATCCCTTGAGATTCCATATGAATTTTAGGGTGGGTTTTTCTGTTTCTACAAAAAACATCATTGCGATTTTGATAGGGATTGCAATCAATCTGTAGATCATCTTGGGTAGTATTGTCATCTTAACAGTATTAAGTCCTCTAGTCTATGAAGACAAGATGTCTCCCTTCACCTCCCTGAGCCCCTGTCTCTGAGGCCTGTCTCTCTGTGTCTCTGAACCCCGTCTCTGTGTGTCTCAGGTGCCGTGGTCATCGCCTTTGTGGTCTGCTGGCTGCCCTACCACGTGCGGCGCCTTATGTTCTGCTACGTTTCAGATAAGCAGTGGACCCCGTGAGTACGAGGAGGCTGAGGGTGGGGAAGCTCAGGCCAGGGGGTGCTCCCTAAACAGGTGGGCGTGGGAGGTGGGGGTGCTGAAAGGAACAGCTCAGGGCAGGGGTGCGGGTCAGGTGTCCCCCAGCGGACTGTGACTGGGCCAGGGAGGAAGGCCGTGAGGGGCAGACGCCCGGGAAGCTGCTCGGCCGAGGGACAGGTTGAAGCAGATCCCAGGAGAGTCAGTGCTGGGACAGGTTTAGAGACGTCTGGGGACTGACAGGGAAGGGCTGGCTCTGCTGGATGTGGGAGGAGGGGTGGCAGCTGTCGGGACCCTGGACCACCCAGGGCTGGAGGGGTCGCCAGGACTCCCAGGACTCTGAGAGAGCTGCACCCTGGCCGTGACGTATCACAGTGAAAGGACATCACAAGACCCACAACAGGAAAAGCCCCTGAGGAGTCGGGGGTCCAGGGCAAGCTTCCAGAACCCCCACGCTGGGCTGACTTCCCAGGACGAGCTGTGACAATATATGAAACTGGGAAGCTCGCCAGAGACCCAGCGCCCAGGGTTTTACCAGGGGCCGGTCACGTGGGTACCTCTGCCTGGCAGGCACCCAAATTCCAGACCCCCAGAAGGAAGCAGGTGCTCCTTGCACAAACAGCTTGGGCCCAGGGAGCCCCTCCTGTCCTATCAGGGGAGGTGGGGACCCTCCCGAAATCCAAGTTCCCCGTCACCAGTGAGGCTGGCCTTGCCAGCAGGCCTTTCTGAGACGGGAGCCTATCTCGGGCCTGCAGTGTGAGCTCTGCTGCATGGCAGGACTGCCAGGTGCACGGGTCATGGGTTCTTCAAAGTGACGAGGAATTGTTGGGGAGGGTAAATCTAGAACAGATAAGGAGAAGGTACAGGGAGCAAGGCACAGCCCCAAATAAAGGGTTTCTGAAACTCAGGGCTACCTGGTGGTGAAGTGATTGCCTGCTGAGGGAGTGAGATCCCTGTGGCTGGAGGCAAGCAAGCTGAGGGCAAGGTTTGGAGGGGGTTCCTGCCCTGGCTGTCCACTTGAGGCCGGGGACAGCAGCGCCCTGCAGCCCTGGGCTGCTGGGATTCTGCACACGTAAGGGCAGGCCAGGTGTGCTGCAGGGAGAGGTGGGGACTGGGGCAAAGCAGAGTGGCCACACCCTGCCTGGGGAAGGTGCTGCCAACTCAGCTCTGCTGACGGGTGCCAGGTGGGACCAGGGTCAGAACTTCCAACTTCTTTCTCAAGAGAAGCCAGAACCCTGGAATTTATTATGAAACAGCCTCGTGTCAAAAAATTTACAAGCAGCTTTTTCCTTATGGTCCCAAGCCCCCACGTCTGCCGGCTACTGGGGGCTGTGGGCTGTCACCGGGGCCCCTGTCTGAGCGCCCTCTGCCCGCAGGGTCCTCTACGACGTCTACCACTACGTCTACATGCTCACCAACGCCCTCTTCTACGTCAGCTCCGCCATCAACCCCGTCCTGTACAACCTCGTGTCTGCCAACTTCCGCCAGGTCTTCCTGTCCACCCTGGCCTGCCTCTGTCCCCTCTGGGGGCGCAGGAGGAAGAGGCCAGCCTTCTCGAGGAAGGCCAACAGCGTGTCCAGCAACCACACCTTCTCCAGCAACGTCACCCGGGAGACACTGTACTAGAGCCGGGAGGGGGCCAGGAGGGGGCTGTGAGGAGGCTGGGAGGCTGGATGGAGGCAGGGAGGGGGCTGGAGGGGGAAGGAGGGGGCTGAGAGGCTGGATAGAGGCAGGGAGGGGGCAGGGAGGGGGCTGCAAGGAGGCTGGGAGGCTGGATGGAGGCAGGGAGGAGGCTGGAGGGGTAAGGAGGAGGCTGGGAGGCTGGATAGAGGTAGGGAGGGGGCTGGAGGGGGAGGGAGGGGACAGGGAGGAGTCAGGGAAGGGGCAGGGAGGGCTGGATGGGGGCTGTGGGGGGCAGGGAAGAGGCTTGTGGGAGGCTGGGAGGAGGTAGGGAGAGAGCAGGGAGGGGGTCGGGTAGAGCAGGGAGGGTCAGGTAGGGGGCTGGCCGCTTGGCCTCATCCCCCACCACTCAGCAGCAGTCCCCCACCTGGGAGCTGGGAGCTGGAATGGGGGTGAGCTGGAGGCCGGCACTGTGGCATCTGAGGCCTAGGACCTGGCACCCACACCCCAGAGGCCCCGTTTCTTTCAGCTCCTCCTGCCTCACCCCTCCTCAGCCTTCCCTGCTCCCCTCCCCATCCACAGCGCTCCCTCCTCTCCTCTGAAATTCAGCGAGATTGTTCCTCTCCCAGATCCAAAAGGCCTTTAATGAGGAGAAGTTAGTGTTGAGTCAAAGGCAGTCTTCCATTCCCTGGACTAATGGATGCTGAGAGAGAAGAGAAATGAAAGGAACAGTGGGGCCGGGCCTCGGGCGGCTGAGCTCGACAGGGGACCCGAGAGGCTGCGCTGGGAGGAGCCTGACTGGCAGGACCGCCGCTGCCTGGTGCCCAGTGGGAGGAGAGGGCCTCCATCCCGCCTCTGGTCTCGCTCAGGAGCCGGTCAGCCCAGGTGCCACAGGCGTCCAGACCCCCAGCTCCCCAAGAACGATTCCCAGGGAGCTTTGATGTGCCCAAAATGACGAAGGAGAGGACAGCCTGGCATGGCCTGGACCCAGGCCTCCCCCTTCTCCTCACCAAGGTGGCAAGGCTCTGCAGGGCCGCCGTCCTCCATCGGCCTCACAGTCCTCAGGCTCAGGTCAGAGGGGCCTGGCCTCCCCGCACCCACCCAGGCGGCCCAGGCCGAGACAGGCACGTCCCTGCCTGCTTCCACTCCCAGCTGTGCAGGTGAGCACCTCTGAGGCAGAGGGGACTTGGCTGAGAGATCTTGGTCCCGGGGGCTCAGCCACAGGTGAGGAGGAGGCGCCTTGGGTCCAGGCAGCTCGCTGGCCGGCAGCCAGGCTGAGCCCAGACCTATTTGTCATGAGTTGGCAGGCAGCGGCCCCAGCCCCAGACTCCAGACGCCCAGAAAGGCAGGCACCTCCTTGGTCTCTAGGAGCTGCTCTCCAAACAGAACAGGACGGCCCGGCCCGAGAGGGTCCCCCAAGCCGGGGGAAGGTGGGTCTTGGGGGAGCTGCCCTGGACCAGTCAGTCGAGGCCATGAGTGGCAGAAGAGGCCCAGAAAGCAACACGGAGGACTTTTTCAAGTATGTTCTCCCTGGGCTTGGGAGCACATTTGTCCAGAAGAGAGAGAGTCAGACGGGCAGACGGCCTGCATGAGCAGCATCGGCTCAGCACTCAGGAGACCTGGTCCTAGTCGGGGGTCGGCCGGGACTCAGTCTCCCCATCCATAAAAAGGGCGATATCCACGGTCGCTTCAGATCTGGCCATTCTGATGTGAACTGGGGTGTTACCTGAACCCCACAAATCCCTTCTCTGAGCCACAGGACCCTTCAGTTCACCAAGAACAGGGCCGAGGTGTCAGGCCACAAGCCAGTCCTCGGGCCAGGCAGCCCTCCCATGACCCAGTGGCTGCTGACCCCAGGGGACAAGGCCGACCCAGAACACCCACATAGCCATGTGCTGTGCAGGGGAGCTCGACCCAGCCGAGTGAGTGCAGAGGTCAACCAGCCCCTAGCCCTGCTCAGCAAGTGGGCATCAGAGTTTAGCAACGACCGAACCGGGCATGGGTGCCAGGCTTCAGAACAAGGACTGGGCTCATTCTGAGAGGTTCTCAGACCCTCCCTGGCGTTCCTGAACTTTGGGCACGCCGTGATTGCTCCAAGCCTCAGTTTCCCCATCTGAGAAATGGGCGTGGTCATTCCACCCTCTCAGCCTCTGACAGGGCTGGCTGTGACTGTCCTGGAGGAGCCAGCCCGGAAGGGACAGAAGGGACGGTTCCCTGAGGAGGGGGCAGAGTTGACATGGATGGAGACGCCCGGCTGCCCCAGACCCTCCTAGTCACAGACGGCTCTGGTCTCCGAGGCAGGGTCTGTAGCTGCAACCCGAGGTCCACTTACTGCTGGTCGTTATGTTCCCGTGTGCACTTCATGTAGGTAGGGACACACGTCCACGCACCCGCTGCCAAACACCCCTCCTTGTGCCGCGCAGCTCGGCGTGGTCGGCTCCCGGCCACGCCATGCAGCTGCAGAAGCCGGCTCTGCAGGCCGGGTGCATATCACCCTCAGCGTCCAGTGTCCTGTGTGACCGGTCAGTGATGATGGCGAAACCCTGTCGTGTCATTTCACATGTTGCTCAAGACGCCACCACTCCCCCATGACATCCTGTAGCCGACAGGAGTCCCCCCTGAACCCCTCAATAAAGGAGATTGTGCACCCTCTCGGCCTGGACTCTGATGTTGAGGGGCTGGTGGGCCTGCATGCGTCCATTCATTCACTTGCTTGTTACTGACGCAGCCCACAGCCCTCCACGGGGCCCTTTTACCAAAAACACGTGAGCCTTGGTCGTGTCTCCTGAAGGCTGGCGGCCCAGGGGGCAGGGATCCCCCGGCTCAGGTCCTGCCCACCTCCCTCCCCCCAAGTGCTTCAAGGAGCAGCAGAGGAGAGAGGGGCTTGTGCAGGAGCAGGCCCCGCCGTGGGCCTGGGGGTCCCCTCACAGCCTGGAGCCAGGGAAGACCTGGGTCCACACTGGCTGTGTGGACAACGCCCTGCCCCTCCCTGAGCCTCAGTTCTCCCATCTGTTTGCTGGGCACAGAGGAGGCCCACTGAAGGGGGTGCGGGGTCCTGTGACCGTTTGACTCTGGTCTCCACGGCCCCTCTAGCCAACCTGGGGAACTGAGGGGACAAGGTCAGCTTCTCCCTAGGGGTCAGCAGGTGAGGGAGCCCTGGGGACAGGGGCACTAACTGTCCTCCTACAGAGCCACCCCGTGTGGAACCTCCCCCTCCACAGGAGATGCCTTCTGACTCAGGGTGTCCCCTCCTCCTCCCTTCTCCTGCCTCCCCTGCTCTGCCCCGTCTCAGGGCCGCAGGGCCCTGAGGCCCCAGCCTGGGGCACAAGGACAGCACCCTTCTAGGCTGCAGGGCTCCGGGAGAGCCTCTGTCCTTCCCCCTGAGTCTCCTCGACAGCATGGACTCGGGGGCGGGGCGGGGGGTGGCTGGCTGGCATCCAAACCAACAGCAGAGCCTGCCAAGACCGGCTTCCCAGGCCTGCGCCCGCCCTGTGCAGGCAGAAGCCCCGGGAGGCCGGAAACTTGCACCCTTACCACCTGCAGCAGAGTCCGGGCCCACCACAGAGCAAGAACCACCCCCACACCCTCCCCCGCCTCCAGTTCATCCATTCATTCCTTCACCTGCCAGGTGCTCCTTAGGGCCTGCCTTCCTCAGAGCTGACTCACTGCCCCATTCTGATTGGCACAGGGGTGAGGGTGTGAGGTTCCAAGTGCTCCGGCCACTGTGCTTGTGAGTCACCCCCCACCCCCACCCAGTCAGCAGGGAAGCAGGGAAGTCTCAGGACTCCCACTCACTCCAAGGCGTCAGGGACTCGCTGGCACCTCTGAAAGGTGCACTGACATATTACAAGAATATCCAAAGGAATGAAACTCTAATTGTGGAATTTCAGGCCAGTCCTGGAGAGGGAAATTTGGGGATAACAAGCAGGCAGCCCTGAACCTTGACCACACTTCAATGCCGCTCCCATGAGACCGAGCTCTGGCTGAGCCCCTCCCTACCTCCTGCAGGTTTTCTGAGCCCGGGTCCCTGTTCCAGCACGTGGAGAGAAGGGGAATCCACCCTGGTATGGGAAGGTCCCTCTGGCTTCATCGCATCACTAGGCAACAGGAGGGGGGCTTGGGAGAGAAGCCTGTACATTTTAAAATACATTTGAGGGAAGAAAAAAAGAGCCGGTGGCTGCAGGAACCTGAGGAAAGGAAAAGCTTCCTACCCACCCCTCCCTCCCACCTTCTCCCTCCTGCCCTCGTCCTCCGGCCACCCCCCTCCCTCCTCTCATTGCCTCTCTCCCTCCCTCCCATCCCCGCTCTCCCACTCTCACCCTCTTCCTCCTCCCTCACAACCACTCCTCCCTCCCTCTCTCCCTCCACCACCCAGCCACGTTCCCCACAATTACGATTTGAATTCCAATTTTTATCAGAACGCCATGGAAACCATGTCCAGGCTGACTTTATGAAAGGAATGGCACCTCGAGGAGAGATTGGGGGCAAGGGGCAGGCCTCGAGCCAGAGTTGGGGAGTGAGGGGGGCTGCCACTCCCGTGGGGAACCTCTCAGCACACAAGCATGCACACACACACACCCAGCTGCACGGCCTCCCGCCCCACTGGGCCTCCTTCCTGGGCTCTGAGAGATGGCCAGGTCTCAGCCTGCAGTCCAGTTCACAAGGCGGTCAGCAGACCAGTGTACACCTGGACAGCGCCCTCCGGACCTGCCTGAGCCTCCAGTCCCACCTCCCTTTCTCCCTCGGGGTAAAGAGAGAAATGTGGGGCCACGTCCTCCTCTCAGAAGCCCCCAGGAATCCCCCACCAGGCCCAGAACCAGGCCCAGTCCGTCCCCCGGGCCTGAAGCCCCACCCTCCAGCTCACTCCCTGCCGCCCAGGCCTTCAAGACTGAAGGGGCCTCCTGGGGGTGGGGGAGTTGCGGCCCAGATGGGGCCAGGGCTCACTCTGTGCACGCCGCAGGAGCGCTGGGGTCAGGGGTCAGAGGCTGTGTCCAGGGCCTGCTGGATGGAAGCCCCAGGCGCCACACTACGCAGCATCTCATCCTGTTCCCGGAGCAGGGGCCTCACTCCTCTGGTTCAGGAGGGTGTTGACCAGGAGACACTGGGGCTGTCTTTCATGGTACCAGCGTAATGGGGTGAAATGAGAAAATGCAAACCCCCCACGACAGTTTTTGAGGGAAAATCACCAAATAGTCAAATTCCCACTGTAACTTGCTTTGTGTGTGTTTGATACACAGGGCCTGGTACTTAGATGAAAAATCTAGTGACGGAGCCCGCACACAGCCACCTCCTCCACCAGTTCTCACCGGGGCAGCCTGGCCCTCTCCCCTGGGGCCCGCCTGGAGTGGGGCCGAGCAGGGGCCCAGGAAACACAGCCCCAGGCAGGACTCAAATCCTTGTCTCAGGGCAATCCTGGGAAGCCACCTCGGGGTGGGATTCTGGGGTTGGGCCACAAGGCCCATTGCTGATTGTAAACGGGAGTCAGAGCTCGGAAATAGAGGAGGAAAAATAACCCAGGAATCTCACGTCCACTTGTCGCATGTCCTTCAACTTCTAACTTCCCTCCAAATCCACCTGCTAGCAGTTACTTTGCAGTCCTCGGTCGCTGCTTTCTGTGTCCCATCCAGAGTCTAGTTTTTAGTAATCCGTGGGAGGGCACGTCTGCCACGGACTCATGCCATCTCGGTCAGAGCCGTGAGTCTGCAACCGGCTTCCTAGGCTTCCTAGAGACGGCTGTGACTCTGTCCACCGAGTTGTGCCTGCTTTCCGTCCACGGCTGCAGACCTTCTCCTGCACGGATACAGCAGTGCAGCAACGGAACATGGAGGCCCTTTCCAGTCTCTCACTTTCCCCAGGAAGTGCGATGAAGCCTTGCACGTCTTTCGTTTTCTCTCTGCGTGCTCCTGTGCCATCCTTTCCTACAGCGGAATCTGCATTTCTGGGTCTCCAGGTTTGTGCATGTGTAATTTTATTGCTGCTGCCCAATGCCTCCTGCAGAATTGTGTCAGAGCACATCCCCACCAGTCCGAGTGTTTGCAACGAGACTCTTCAGGTCTCTTTTGAAGGTTCTGGCAGAATATTCCATAGCATTCTCTCTCTGACACATGAATCACCAGGAGCTCGGAGGGAAACGTCAGCCTCGTTGAACCTTCAGGGTGAGCCATTTCCTGCCGTCTGTGAGGTGGCCCCGGCACTCGGACTCCATTGTCCGGGGTGGTTATCACACGCACTCGAGCTTCCCCGCCCGCACGTCCTGTCGCCGCTCCCTGGATCCCAAACCAGATGCTTTGGGAACAAAAGGGGACTCTGGATGTCACTTCTGTGCATGGGCGAGGGGAACCACAGCCCCAGCCAAACCACTCAGTTTCCATGTAAAGTGCCTCTCTTGCCTTCACCCTTCCAGGCGGAGGCTCCCCCTTCCCCCGGGCAGTGAATTCCTGTCTCGAGCCCCTGGAGGGCCAGGACGGGGCCCATGCCAAAGACTAGACGGGGCTTCCTGGGGGTGGCAACTGGCTGGGAGAACATGCCGGAGCGCGCCTGGTCCCTCCAAGCCTTCATTTGTGCATCCCGTCAACGTGAGATGCGCTGGCTCAAAATACCAAACCGCCGGCCGAATCTCAAAGAGGCCAAGCTGCAAGGAAGCTTCTAGTGGTCAGCCTCCCCTGGAGAGGCAGCGCGGGCGAGGATGCCTGAGGCTGTCGTGGGAACCCGCCCCGCCCCGCCAAGCCCCACACCTGCACCAGGGTTCCCGGATGGGCAGGCGACTCTGGCGGCATCTCCTGTCATTTCACTGCTTTGCTTGACAGTGAGCTTCTCGGCAGGTGCCACCCCCTTCTACACGCCCAGCGTCCACACATCTGCCTGCCTGCCTCTCGACTCTTCAAGGGACGTGAGCTCAGCCTCGTGGTTGGGGAAAGAATCAGAACCAGGGAGCAGAACGGGGATGGGGCCCAAGATGTGCGCCGGGCCGCAGAGGGGGCACCTGCGTCTGGTCCCCCAGCCGGTGCTTCCAGCCTGCTGAGCTCGCTGTGTGCACATTAACTTTCAAGATGCAAATCCCTTTTCTTTTACTATAAAAGTGATTCATTCTCTCGTCAAAAATTTAAATACCATGAAATTGTGTATAGTACAGAGTGAAGGCCCCACTTAGTCCCCCCCAGAGATAATCCCTGCTGGCAGATGGGCGAGCACGTGGCTGCTGCTGCACCAATGCACCAACCCTGGAACGGAGCTCTTGAGCGTGCGCACACACACATGCACACAGACACGCATACACACATGCACACATATATGCACATGCGAATGCACACACATGTGCACACACGTGTGTGCACGTGCACACACAGCTGTGGCCATGTCAGCACACATGGCGCTCTCTTCTTCCTTTGTGTGCACCCCAAAGCCATTTTTTTAGACACAAAGTTGAAATAAATTTCTGACATTCACATGTTTCCACAAGCAAAATGGCCTGTCCTGTGCAGTCTCAAGGTCCCTGTCCCTAGAGTGTCCAAGCAGAGGACATGCTATGTCTCAACAGGCCTCAGCCGACCCCGTGGGAGCTCAGGGATGAAAACGAACCTTCAGGGGTGTCTTGGGGGCTGGGAGGGGGGCCAGGTCTTTATACTTCTCCCCCCTTTCTGTATGGAGCCATCACTGGATGCAGCCCGGGTGAGGCTCATGGGGCCAGCAGGGAGGGGACAGTGAGGAGGGGCGGGGACAGGAGGGAAGGGACACACAAACCCCTGCTGCCCTCTCACCAGTTATGTCACCTTGAAATAGTCACTTGCCCCCAACCCCCACCCCACACCCTGGGCCTCAGGGAGGGAATGGTTCCTTTTACTGAGGAGGAAACTGAGGTTTGGAGGGGAGGCCCGGCCGTGTCCCTGGGGGTCGGCCGCAAAGCACAGGACTCTCGGGGTGTCCGAGCTCCAGCCCAGCGCTCTTTCGACCAGGGCCCCCCTCACCTGCCCGCCTCCAGCCGCAGGTCCACAGATGCCCCTGGCAGCTGCTCCGGCCCTCATCAGCCCACCTGCCTCCCACGCCAAGGGTCACCTTACTGTCCTTTTTTCCTCCAAATACACTTTTCCCTGGACAGCTAATGGGCACATGTACAGCCTTTCCCACCTGAAGTCATCCAGGGGTCTGATGGAGGCATCAAAACCCCATTTCAAAATCTGCCTTTGGCGCCTCATGGGGAGGCAAAGAGGGGGCACCCAAGAAAGCATCAAATTCCCCCCCACAGCCTCCTGCCATCATCTGTGGCCTGCTGCCCATACCCCTCTGCCCAGGTAGAGCCACCCACAGGAGACAGAATTTCCAGCTCAGCGAGGAAGTGGAACACCTCCAGCTGGTGACTCTAATCCAGGAAGGCTGCTCAGAGGAGGCAGTTGGTGGGCAGCAGCCTCAGCAGTGCTCCCCCCACGGCCCACTGAGTGGATGGAGATTCCCATGGACAGATTCACCTGAGCCCCTCGTGAGTGCCAGACCCGGGCTGTGCGGGGACCCCGTGGTGAGTGGGGGCCCCCTGGGGCTCCTGCTGGAGGACAGACAGGAATGGGGAAAACAGACAAGGAGATGAGGCAATCGCGGGGTGGGTGATCAGGGACAGAGAGAGTGGCTGAGAGGTGATACCTGTGTGGCCAGAGCGGGAGAGCCGAGGGCAGGGGGAGGACAGGTGGGTGGGGCTGGACTGTCCTGGCCTGGCAGGACGACGCAGCTGTGGCTCTTATCTCAGGCTCCTTGGGGACATGTGGGTAGGGGGGTGGCACTACAGGCCCGCCAAGAGCCCCCCCAATCCCGGAGTCAGCCCAGCCCTGTGGCTGGGACCCTGGCGTCCCACAGAGAGCCAGGTCTACACGGCAGCCTTCACTGCTGGCTCTGTCCACATCAGTCATTTCTCTTGGGCCCAAATTACCCTTAATCACCCAGTTCCTTCTCCCGGCAGTCTGTCGGGCTCCTTGGAACCGCCCCGTCATCCATCTGCATTAGAAGGTGACACTTGCAGTGGGGCCTCGGGAAGGCAGTGCCGACCAGTAATGCCACACTGAGCTCCCTGCCCACAGCGCAGAGCAGAGCCCCTCCCGCCCCAGGGCATGGACCCGGCTTACCTGAGGTGACCCCAGAGCTGAAGCAGGCTGGATGCCCCCCTCCAGGTCCCTCAGACCCCCCCCACCCTACATCTGACGACAGTCCCGGGGGCCTCCCCACCTGTCCTGCCCTGTGGGCTCAGCGCGAGCTTGGCAATGCTGGCACCTGCACGGGTAAATAGACATTGGAAAGAAGAAATCCCATTTTCCCTGCAGAAACGAAAAGACACTCCCCTCCTCTTTTCTTTCAGCGTTTACTTTAGAAAGCATGTAATTGTACGTTCCTTCGAGAGGGCTATAAATCTTTTTAAAAACTAAATAAGCCTCTTGCCAGCTTACAGCCCAGGCCTGTCTTCCTCAAGGCCCTGGGAGCTGGCTCTCTGAAACGTAACCATCAGGAAGATAGTGCCCGGTCTTCTGGCCCCTGTGGGTGGGCGGGAGCCTGACTTCCATGGAGACCTCACCCCAGACCACCCCCTGCCGTAAAGAGTTTACTTTTCCTTTGGATAAAGCCAATTAGCTAACACAGGTGGTCACCCCAATTAGTAGGCGGGTTTAGGATGAATTACTCGTGACAAATGGTGCTGTCAAGCCCTCCCACTTGAGAACCAGCTGTTGTTTATCTAGAGAACATGTGTGCACCGGGCTGCCTTGTATGGCTCTAGAAAAGGGTGCATGTCTTCCCGTCTCTGCATCTCCCAGCACGATGCCTGCGGTGCGCATTGCATTCTGGTTAGTGCTCACTTGATAATAAAACTGTCATCTTTCTCCTCTACCTTTGTGGAAGCTTTGCCCAGTTGGCAGATTTTCAGTTCTATTTCCCCGACACCCCAATTCCGTGTGACTCGGGGCACCACCGCGTGCCTGGCACTGTGTCCCTCCTCACATTACCTGGTTGTTTTCCAGTTTGAAGCTGCTAAATGGTTTATTCGTGACTTTCTCGCACGCCCACGGACATGGCACCTTCTCGGAAAGGAGCCCACGTGACCCTGAGAGGGGAGAACATGCCAGACCCCGAGATGCTAATGCTCCTGAAGAGAAAAGGCAAGCCAGCCCCGGCAGCCACCTCCCCCGAGGACGCACTGGGGCAAGGCTCACAGGACACCTGCCGCCTCCCGGGGCAGAGGGAGATGAGAGCTGGAGAGAAAGCCAACCCACCCCATAATTCAAGGACCAATTACGATCGCCTCACTGCTGGCCGCCCACAAACACCGGGGTTCTTTAAAGGCAAGTGCCCGTGGTGACTTTAAATGACTTTCCATTAATTACTAGCCAGGGAGCCCAAAATAGCTTCCTAATCTGCAAGCCTCTGTGTGAGCCCTGACCGGACTTGATTCTAAATCTTGTCTTGTCATTTTTTGTTTTTTAAAATATATCATTTTTTACCTGGGAATAAATCTTACCAAGGAGGTGAATGACCTATACAATGAGAACTACAAGACATTATTGAAAGAAATC